AGCTGTCTGAGGCCCCTCAGAGCCTGCTACAGAACCAGAGAGCAACCCCCTCCCCAAAGCAGTCATTTCTCAATGTTTAGTACAGAAACCTCAGTGAAAATCTGATAAAAACTATAACATCATATAAAATCTCCAGGAGTTAATGGAGCCCCTCAAGTCCATCCACAGAACCCAGGTAATAGTGTGAGAGCCAAACTAAGAATGTGGGAGCCAAACTAATTAACTCAAGTCACAAGTCAAACTACCTCCTTTTTTATTTATTTAGGACAACAGGCCGCAGCATACCAAGGACCTTATCATACCTAGGTGTTACAGCCCACATCCTGACCCCCTCCCCTTCGTCCCACTAGCCCCCTTGTGCACTCAGCCCACATCCTGACCCCCTCCCCTTTTTGCACTCGCCACTCTACTCTGCACTCACCCCACTTGTGACCTTTATCCCTTCTTTCTTATTCGCTCACCTGAGATAAAGAAGACTCCTCCCTGAGCCAGTCAAGCCTGAACACGACCACCCTGTAACTGTCAGTTTAGGACAGACATGGTTTACCTACCAATAAGGGGATGGGGTGGGATGGCCTAATGGGAGGGAAGAGGGGAAGGTATAAAGGAATTATCTGAATAGTCTGTAAGGGCTGTTCCCGCTTTTTCTTAAAGGGCAGCCCAGGCTCTGAGCTTGAATAAAATTCCTCATGCCTTTGCAGTGATGTTTGGACTCTCAGAGTGGTGCTTGAATTGAGTCTGGGGGTTAACAATAGCAGCTAGCCTAGAGGGCCTTGTTGGGAAGGGTGGGATTTGTTGAGGTAGGTTGTAGGTCAGGAGCCTCTTTGAAGGGCCCTATCTCTGTGTTTTTTGTTTTTTGGGTTTTTTTGCAGTTTTTGGCTGGGGCTTGGTTTGAACCTGCCACCTCCAGCATATGGGGCTGGAGCCCCACTCCTTTGAGCCACAGGTGCTGCTCCCTATCTCTGTGTTTAATCAAATCTTAGTTGGGCTAAGAAAACTCTCTGAACCGTTTGATTTCAAGATGTCATCAGATGGCAGAGAGACATTAGAATCAAATCTGCAAATTCCTCCTATCCCAACAACCCCAGGCCTTCTCAGAGCTCAACCACACAAGGCAAGGTCACTGAAGTACAGCTCAAGAGACCCTGTGCCACCTTGTCTGTCCACATCAGACGTGCCGAGGGAAGGCACACTCGCCTGCCTCACTTTCTCTTAAAGGGTCCTGCTCAGAGCCATGATGCCAAGACAGGAAGGCATTAAGGTTACAGCTCCCTGGACATACTCTGAGTTTATCCTCCAAGGCACCTGTGCCCACTCTTACCTGCCAGATGTACCATGGTCCCCTGGGCCACCGACCACATAGAGGCTGGACCGATCCCCCTTGCCGCTCAGCAGAGAATGGAGGTTCTGAAAAGAGGCAGCCTTCCGACGCTGGTGAGAGGGTGACACCTGATGGTGAAGGCCCAATATTGCAGGTGAGAAAAGCCACCTGGGAAGAAGTCAACAGAGGACGTGCCCCAACCATGACCCTGAGAGCCCTCCTAGAAACTGACCACACAGGCTTTTGTCTATGGGCTCAGTGAGAATCACCATAACTTACTTATGGAAGATGGGCCTACACAGCCCAGCTGAAGCTTCAAGGTCTCAGGGTTTTTTTTAATTTTAGGTGAAATAATCACTTTGTGCTACAATACTAATTATCTCATTGATTAAGAATAAAATGGTATGGAGAATCCTCAAGGAACTCAAATTAGACCTCCAATTTGATCTTGCAATCCCATTACTAGACATCTACCCAGAAGAAAAAAAAATCATTTTATCATAAGGACATTGATACTATACTATACTATAAATTAAACTATCGCAGTTCAATTTATAATTGCCAAAATGTGGAAACAACCTAAATGCCCACCAACGTTGGAATGGATTAACAACCTGTGGCATATGTATACCATGGGATACTATTCAGTCATTAAAAAAGATGGAGATTTTACATCTTTTGTATTAACGTGAATAGAGTTGGAACACATTCTTCTTAGTAAAGCATCACAAGAATGGAGAAGAATCCAATGTACTCAATTCTAATATGAAGCCAGTACATGATCTAATACATACCCACATAAGAGAAAAACTCAAATCAATTCAAGGTGGGGGACAGGGAAACAAGGGAGGATGGGGACAGAGGGGGATAGGGAGTCACAGTGTATGACACACCTCTTTGGGGAGAGACACAATTATAAGAGGGACTTTACCTAACAAATGCAAACAGTATAACCTAATTTTTGTACCCTCAATGAACGTGAGCCAATAAAAAAAAAAGAATGAAATGAAAGCAAAGTAATTATAAGTAAATGCAATTTTGGAGTTAAGATCATGAATATTATTTTGTGATTCTTTAGTATCTTTTTTATGATTACTTTTGTTTAAAATTTCTTATCTATGACAATTCCCTCAAGGAGTTCACAAAATGATGGCGGCATGGCTGAGCATAGATGGAAGCTCCCAATGCATGTTAAAAGGGTGATGACATATAGGACAGAGACTGGCCGAGGAGGCTTGGGGCACTAGAGGAGCTGACACTTGCAGCAAGAGCCCTCCAGGTAGAGGGAGAAGCAGGAGTGCTCTGAGTAGAAGAAAACAGTGTATGCAAAGACACAGAGAGATGGAAGGAAGCATGGTGCATTCTGGAACATGCATGTGGTCTGGGAAGCTAGGCTGAAGAAGTTGTGGGAGATGGCTGAAGCCAGGGGCCGGGCCTAGAAGGACCTGGTACAGCCTGTGAAGCAGCTCCTGAGTGATGTCAATATGAGTGACAAGATGAGACCTGTGTTCTAGAAAACGACCCAATTAGAGGCAATTTTGAAGCAGGGGCATTGGAGATGGAGGCAGGGAGATGCAGACTTTTAAAGAAATACTACACACATTATTTATTATGTTTGGAATCATGCTGCTATGGCCTGAACATTGTATACTCCCGAAATTCACATGTGAAACCTAATCGCCAAGGAAGTAGTTGCTTTTGGAAGTGATGATCAGGTCCCAAGTGCAGAGGCTTGATGGATGGGATCAATGCTCTTCTAAAAGAGGCCCAGAGGGACTCTTTGCCCCATCTACCCTATCAGGTGGCAGTGAAAAGAACCATCTTTGAAGCAGGGGCCCTCACCAGACACTGAATCTCCCAGCACCTTGATCTTGGATTTCTAGCCACCAGATCTAGGACAAGTAAATCTCCGTTGTTTATAAGCCACTAGCTAAAGGTATTCTATTACCGCAGCCTGGGTGGACTTGAGCAACGCTCTGAAGAAGTAAGACATGTGGTCAAGAAGCTTAGGATGGGGCCTGACCTCATCCCGGAGCTCAGGAACGCTTCCTTGGGGAGTCATGTTGAACTTTGACCTGAAGGACAAACAGGAGTGTCCTAGGGAGAGGGGAAGGGGAAGAAGGAAGAGGAACCTTCCAGACTCAGGTCCAACCTCCCAGTGGGAAGGGATGCTGCCCACAAGAGGACATGGGAGAGCCAGCACGAGTGAGATCAGGGCAGCCGCCCACCGGCAGGGCCAATGAAACTAGCCAGCGAAGCCTCCCCCCTTTCTGCCACAAACACACCTGGCGGCACAACATGCCAACAGCAAGTACATCACCCTGAGATACGTCATGTATATTTCTGAGTGAGGCAGATTCTTCTTTTATCTTTTTGTTTCTTTTTTTGAAAATTTCTTCCTTTACTCAGTTCGTGAAAATGTCTCTCCACTCTTTTGGCCACCCTCTCCCGGCCAGTCTACCTCTGTCTTGCTGGGAGTGCCAGTGGCTTCCCTTCCTCTGCCTCGGGCTCCATGGGAGGCATCCTCAGCATGGCTTCTCTATTCTGACTACCACGGCCTCACAGCCCCTCAGTGGGGACTGAGTGAGTCCCCTTAGGACTCACTCAGCTTGCAGTGCCCAGCCTCTCCAGGACAGGACAGAACAGTGGTGTTTCCCTTGAGGTGTTTGCAGAGAAGGAAATTTTTCTTTCTTTCCTTTTTTTCTAGAGACAGAGTCTTACTCTGTCACCCTCAGTGAGCGCCATGGCAGCAAACTCTTGGGCTCAAGAGATCCTCTTACCTAAGCCTCCTGAGTAGCTGGGACTACAGGCGCTCGCCACAATGCCTGGCTAATTTTTCTGTTTTTAGTAGAGACAGGGCCTCCCTCTTGCTCAGGCTGAGTTCAAGCAATCCACCTGTCTCAGCCTCCCAGCATGCTAGGTCTATAGGTGTGAGCCACCATGCCCAGCTAGAGAGATAAAAGTTCTGATTACAATGAATACGGGTGCCATAGCTCAGACACACAGGGGACAAACTGACCCCTAGAGCACTCTCACCCCAGCATACAGTCATTGCTTCTGTTTCTTTGCCTTCACTCGTTCAACTGGCAAATAGTTACCAAGCACCGGCTGTGTACCAGGTACTGTCCTTGGGGAAGGGCAATCAGTGGGGTTTCCATTTGGCCTTCATTCTCTCTTCCCTCCTGCAGCCCGGGAGATGAAAGGCTCCAGCACCCCAAACCACACTAGCCTGCTATATCCTGCCCAGGGCGGGGCCAGGGAGAAGGAGGAAGAATAATACCTAAAACTGTAGGGCACAGATCGGGGCTTTCCCTCGAGAGCTCATTGAGAGGTTGCTGCTGTCGCTTGCCACAGCTCCAGTACACAGGAGGGAGAAGGTCAGCTATGGGTGCTAGGTTCCCTCGTTCATTCTTTCATTCACTCACTCAGTGCATACTGAGATACACCAGCCCTTGTAATAAGTATTGGGAGTATAAAGATCAAGTGGTGTTCCCTCAAATAGTTCACACTCCAGTGAGGGGAGAGACACACGAATCAGTTAAGATGCCATATGACAAGTTCCAGGAAAGAGGGAAGCACAGGGAGAGATGGGAACAGTGAGCAGGGGCCACATGGCTCACTCAGTGTGAGGAGAGTTTGCAAATAGCTTCCTGAGGCAAATGGGGCCTGAGGCATTCACGGGGGGTGGGGAGGGGGGGAGTATTGCAGGTGTAGATCAAAGTCAGACCGTGCATGATCTGAATACAGAATCGCAAGGGGGTCTGATATGACTGGGCAGGAATACCAAAAGGTGGGGACAGGGACGAAAGCAGACTGACCCCCAAACCCTGTGGCAACACCAGTCTGAACCTTACCTCGAAGGCAATAAGGACCCAGTGACAGATGCTCAGCAAGGGAGTGGCATGACCTGACTTGAGTATCAGAAAGACCACTCTGGAAGCCACATGAAGAAGGGACCCCAATAGGGAGGCAGGTCAAGAGGCCATTGAGGTGAGCCAGGTGTGAAATAATTTGTCACTGTAGCCATGGAGAAGGTTCTGGAATACCAGGCCATCAACTCTCCAGCACTTTGCAAAGGTGGCAAAGTTGCAGGAGAGGGAGAGGAGTCTAGGATGGGCCCAGGGTGGGGCAGCTGGGGGCAGAGCAGGAGTAGGGGTGCTACCCACCCACCCTGTGTCTGGGGAACCCAGGTCTCATGCGCCCACTGTGGGAGTGCCAGCGGCTTCCCTTCCTCTGCCTCAGGCTCCATGGGAGGCATCCTCAGCACGGCTTCTCTATTCTGACCACCACGGCCTCACAGCCCCTCGGCGGGGACCCTCAGGACTCACCAGGTGCAGGGACTGTAACGACGGGGCTCTGGTGTGAGACGCCGGGCCAGGTGCACTTGGATGTAGCTGCTCCACGCTGTAGCTGCGGGACTTGCCCAGCTTGGGCCGGGGACTCTGGCCCAGAGTCGAGAAAAACTTCTTCAGCCCCAGGGTGGAGACGATGCTGTTGCTCCTTTTCTTGTTCTTGTCAGAAGGGACAGCTGAGGGTGAGCCGGGTCCCACACTGGCCCCTGGCAGTGCTCTGAAATACAAGTGTGGGCATGAGGTGTGCTGGACAGGAGTGGGAGACTGCGCCCTCGGGTCCCAGGGACCCCACATGGGCTACCAATGTTGCAGGCCACTGGGGGCCAGGAATTGACAAGAAAGGCTGATGAGCTTCTCCCAGATGCTCTGCGTGGGTAGCTGTTAGGGAGAATGTCTCCTCCACGCCCCCGCCCTAAAATTGGCTATGGGTTCACTCACTCCTCCATCCATTCACTCACGCAGCATTCTTAAGGGCTCACTGCGTACCAGCCTCCTCTAGGCCCTGGGGTCCGTGGAATGGGAGACAAACACGGTCCTTCCTCTCATGAGGTTATGAACAACACACCAGTAAACAATAGAGAAAAACCATCATTAGCCGACGCGCAGGGTGAAGCAGAGAAAGACCAGATGTCAGTTTTCAACAGAGTGGCTAATCCTAGCGCTCTGGGAGGCCGGGGCTGGTGGAGCTTGAGCTCAGGAGTTTAAGAACAACCTGAGCAAGAGTGAGACCTTGTCTCTTCTAAAAATAGGAGGATTTGCTGGGCGTCATGGTGGGCACCTTATAGTCCCAGCTACTCAGGAGGTTGAGATAAGAGATGACTTGAACCTAGGAGTTTGAGGTTACTGGGAGCTATGATGATGGCACTGTACTCTACCCAGGGTGGCAGAGCAAGACTCTATCTCAACAAAACAAAACAAAACAAAACAAAACAAGGTCTTTCTGGAAAAATGAGCTTTAAATTGAGAGCTGACTGGCAAGAAGGAGGCAGTGCTGCCAGAGGAGCCCCGATGCAGAAAACAGCTGGTGCCATAGCCCCAGGGCAGGAAGAGGCAAGATACCTTCAAAGAACCTAGAGGCACCAGGCCATGCTGAAGAGAAGGGGGAAGATGTCCAGATGGGGTCAGACAGGTGGGCCAAGGCGGCGTTGCAGTGAGCGAGGTCAGCCCCGGTGAAGGGTTTCAATTCTGCTCCAAGTGATAGGAAAAACCTTGGCAGGGTTTGAGTGGGAGAATGACACCATTTAATTAAGGTTTTTAAAAGACACCCTAGACTGGGTGGCACCTGTGGCTCAGTGAGTAGGGCGCTGGCTCCAGTAGAACTGTAACCAAAAAAATAAATAAATAAAAACAGC